AACCACAGGGGCCCCGAGGAGCCACAGGGGCCCTGAGGAGCCACAGGGTTCCTGAAGGAACCACAGGGGCCCTCAGGAGCCATAGGGGCCCTGAGGAACCATAGGGGCCCTGAGGAACCACAGGGGCCCTGAGGAACCACAGGGGCCCTGAGGAGCCACATGGTTCCTGAGGAACCACAGGGGCCCTGAGGAACCACAGGGGCCCTGAGGAGCCACAGGGGCCCCGAGGAGCCACAGGGTTCCTGAAGGAACCACAGGGGCCCCGAGGAACCACAGGGGCCCTGAGGAGCCACAGGGGCCCTGAGGAGCCACAGGGTTCCTGAAGGAACCACAGGGGCCCCGAGGAACCACAGGGGCCCTGAGGAGCCACAGGGGCCCTGAGGAGCCACAGGGTTCCTGAGGAACCACAGGGGCCCTGAGGAGCCACAGGGTTCCTGAAGGAACCACAGGGGCCCCGAGGAACCACAGGGGCCCTGAGGAGCCACAGGGGCCCTGAGGAGCCACAGGGTTCCTGAGGAACCACAGGGGCCCTGAGGAGCCACAGGGTTCCTGAAGGAACCACAGGGGCCCCGAGGAACCACAGGGGCCCTGAGGAGCCACAGGGGCCCTGAGGAGCCACAGGGTTCCTGAAGGAACCACAGGGGCCCTGAGGAGCCACAGGGTTCCTGAAGGAACCACAGGGGCCCTGAGGAGCCACAGGGGCCCTGAGGAGCCACAGGGTTCCTGAGGAACCACAGGGGCCCTGAGGAGCCACAGGGTTCCTGAAGGAACCACAGGGGCCCCGAGGAACCACAGGGGCCCTGAGGAGCCACAGGGGCCCTGAGGAGCCACAGGGTTCCTGAGGAACCACAGGGGCCCTGAGGAGCCACAGGGTTCCTGAAGGAACCACAGGGGCCCCGAGGAACCACAGGGTTCCTGAAGGAACCACAGGGGCCCCGAGGAACCACAGGGGCCCTGAGGAGCCACAGGGGCCCTGAGGAGCCACAGGGTTCCTGAAGGAACCACAGGGGCCCTGAGGAGCCACAGGGTTCCTGAAGGAACCACAGGGGCCCCGAGGAACCACAGGGGCCCTGAGGAACCACAGGGTTCCTGAGGAGTCGGCCTGTCCCCAGAACCAGCCGGAGCTCAAACTGCTGCTGGTTTTGTTCTGGTGGGTCGATTTGCTCAGTGAGAAGGTTGATGATGGTGATGATGGTGATGATGCTGATGGTGATGATGATGATGGTGATGCTGATGATGATGATGATGGTGATGATGGTGATGATGGTGATGATGCTGATGGTGATGATGATGATGGTGATGCTGATGATGATGATGGTGATGATGCTGATGGTGATGATGATGGTGATGATGCTGATGGTGATGGTGATGGTGATGATGATGGTGATGATGCTGATGATGATGGTGATGATAATGATGATGGTGATGATGGTGATGATGCTGATGATGATGGTGATGGTGATGATGGTGATGATGATGCTGATGATGATGATGATGGTGATGATGGTGATGATGATGGTGATGATGCTGATGATAATGATGATGGTGATGATGGTGATGATGCTGATGATGATGGTGATGATGGTGATGATGCTGATGATGATGGTGATGATGATGGTGATGATGCTGATGATGATGGTGATGATAATGATGATGGTGATGATGGTGATGATGCTGATGATGATGGTGATGATGCTGATGACATCATCAGCATCAGCAGAATAAAGTCCAGCTGCACCAGAAGCTTTGATCTGTTGATGTTCTCCTTCAGAACCCTGCTGACCAACGCCATGGAGCGAGCCAAGCTCCCAGAGCCGCTCCGGCCCGCCGGCGGCGCCGACAGCATCCCGCCCGGGTTCTCCCTCATCCTGGTGGGCTTCAGCAAAGGCTGCGTGGTTCTGAACCAGGTGGCGTACGAGCTGGCGGCGGCCCGGGCCGACCCCAAGATGTCCGCCTTCGTGGATCGGATCTCGGACATGTTCTGGCTGGACGGAGGACATCCGGGCGGCAGCGAGACCTGGGTGACGGACCGGAAGGTTCTGATGGAGCTGGCTGCCTGCGGCGTCTCCATCCACGCCCACGTGACCCCCTATGAGGTTCTGGACCCCATGCGGGCCTGGGTGGGCCGCGAGTACCGACACTTCATCCGCACCCTGGAGGAGCTGGGGGCGTGTCCTAGCAACAAGCTGCACTTTGAGGAGGAGCCGCCGTCCATCGAGAACCACTTCAGGGTTCTCCTGGAGTTCTGAGTCAGAGGAGGCCGCCGCCGCTTTCTGCTCCTTTAGATGCTGCTTCTGGTGAGATGGTCTCCAAGCTCCCACGTCATCTAATGACGGGACCTGAAGGCCCATCATCATCAGCCTCTCTTTTGCACTGGTGGGACGTGTCCAAGCGTGGTGGACTATGGACTAGTAGCTGACGAGTCTCTAAGCGTATTTGCTTTCTGACTCTGCATCCTCTGATGCTCCTGCAGACGCTGCTCCTCCTCCTGAGATGTTTTCTGTGTTTGTCCAAAGAAATGTTGAGCTAAAAGCTCCCATTGGACGTCTGAGAGACGTCCCCGGGCATCTGAGAGATGTTCGTGAGACGTTTAAGAGACGACCCTGGCGGTCAGAGACATCCCCGGTTGTCTGAGAGACGTCTAAGAGACTTCCTGGGCGCCCAGGAACATCTCTTAGACACCCGAGGATGTCTCTCAGAGGACGTCTTGTAGATGTCCCCGGGCGTCTGAGAGACGTCTTGCAGATGTCCCGGGGCGTCTGAGAGACGTCTTGCAGATGTCCTCGGGCGTCTGAGAGACGTCTTGCAGATGTCCCGGGGCGTCTGAGAGACGTCTTGCAGATGTCCCTGGGTGTCTGAGAGACGTCTTGCAGATGTCCCTGGGTGTCTGAGAGACGTCTTGCAGATGTCCTCGGGCGTCTGAGAGACGTCTTGCAGATGTCCTCGGGCGTCTGAGAGACGTCTTGCAGATGTCCATGGGCGTCTGAGAGACGTCTAGCAGATGTCCATGGGCGTCTGAGAGACGTCTTGCAGATGTCCATGGGCGTCTGAGAGACGTCTTGCAGATGTCCATGGGCGTCTGAGAGACGTCTAGCAGATGTCCATGGGCGTCTGAGAGACGTCTTGCAGATGTCCATGGGCGTCTGAGAGACGTCTAGCAGATGTCCATGGGCGTCTGAGAGACGTCTTGCAGATGTCCATGGGCGTCTGAGAGACGTCTTGCAGATGTCCATGGGCGTCTGAGAGACGTCTTGCAGATGTCCATGGGCGTCTGAGAGACGTCTAGCAGATGTCCATGGGCGTCTGAGAGACGTCTTGCAGATGTCCATGGGCGTCTGAGAGACGTCTAGCAGATGTCCATGGGCGTCTGAGAGACGTCTTGCAGATGTCCCTGGGCGTCTGAGAGACGTCTTGCAGATGTCCATGGGCGTCTGAGAGACGTCTAGCAGATGTCCATGGGCGTCTGAGAGACGTCTAGCAGATGTCCATGGGCGTCTGAGAGACGTCTTGCAGATGTCCATGGGCGTCTGAGAGACGTCTTGCAGATGTCCATGGGCGTCTGAGAGACGTCTTGCAGATGTCCATGGGCGTCTGAGAGACGTCTTGCAGATGTCCATGGGCGTCTGAGAGACGTCTTGCAGATGTCCCTGGGCGTCTGAGAGACGTCTAGCAGATGTCCATGGGCGTCTGAGAGACGTCTTGCAGATGTCCATGGGCGTCTGAGAGACGTCTTGCAGATGTCCATGGGCGTCTGAGAGACGTCTTGCAGATGTCCCTGGGCGTCTGAGAGACGTCTTGCAGATGTCCCTGGGCGTCTGAGAGACGTCTTGCAGATGTCCATGGGCGTCTGAGAGACGTCTTGCAGATGTCCATGGGCGTCTGAGAGACGTCTAGCAGATGTCCATGGGCGTCTGAGAGACGTCTTGCAGATGTCCATGGGCGTCTGAGAGACGTCTTGCAGATGTCCCTGGGCGTCTGAGAGACGTCTAGCAGATGTCCATGGGCGTCTGAGAGACGTCTTGCAGATGTCCATGGGCGTCTGAGAGACGTCTAGCAGATGTCCATGGGCGTCTGAGAGACGTCTTGCAGATGTCCCTGGGCGTCTGAGAGACGTCTAGCAGATGTCCATGGGCGTCTGAGAGACGTCTTGCAGATGTCCATGGGCGTCTGAGAGACGTCTTGCAGATGTCCATGGGCGTCTGAGAGACGTCTTGCAGATGTCCCTGGGCGTCTGAGAGACGTCTAGCAGATGTCCATGGGCGTCTGAGAGACGTCTTGCAGATGTCCATGGGCGTCTGAGAGACGTCTTGCAGATGTCCATGGGCGTCTGAGAGACGTCTTGCAGATGTCCCTGGGCGTCTGAGAGACGTCTTGCAGATGTCCCTGGGCGTCTGAGAGACGTCTTGCAGATGTCCATGGGCGTCTGAGAGACGTCTTGCAGATGTCCATGGGCGTCTGAGAGACGTCTAGCAGATGTCCATGGGCGTCTGAGAGACGTCTTGCAGATGTCCATGGGCGTCTGAGAGACGTCTTGCAGATGTCCATGGGCGTCTGAGAGACGTCTTGCAGATGTCCATGGGCGTCTGAGAGACGTCTAGCAGATGTCCATGGGCGTCTGAGAGACGTCTTGCAGATGTCCTCGGGCGTCTGAGAGACGTCTTGCAGATGTCCATGGGCGTCTGAGAGACGTCTAGCAGATGTCCATGGGCGTCTGAGAGACGTCTTGCAGATGTCCATGGGCGTCTGAGAGACGTCTTGCAGATGTCCATGGGCGTCTGAGAGACGTCTTGCAGATGTCCATGGGCGTCTGAGAGACGTCTAGCAGATGTCCATGGGCGTCTGAGAGACGTCTTGCAGATGTCCATGGGCGTCTGAGAGACGTCTTGCAGATGTCCCTGCCTGACGCAGCTCCGTTCTCCTTCATTCCTTTGCTGCTGTGGAGCATGTAGCTGTAGTTCTGCTGGCAGCCAGCAGGGGGCGGCAGACAGACCACAGGAGGCTGTTTGTTTGTTTGTTGTTTTTTTCCAGTTTGCTTCCTGTTATCCAGCAGTTGATTAAATTACAGATGATGAAAATCAAAGAAGAAATAAAAATCTGAACCCTTCCAGCTGATCGGCTCCTTCAGTCAGAACCAGCAGCAGCCGACCCGTCCGGATCAGAACCGGTTCAGGCTTCCAGCAGTTCTAGATGACGGAACCGAGGGACAGAGCGGCGCCGGACGGACTGCTCCGTCCTCACAAAGCCCACATTGTCCCACCGCTGAGCAGTTCTGTTTGATCGGGTCGCTCCTCAAACCTTCCAGAACTTTCTCCACCTTCCTCTGCTCCATCCTGAACGTCAGACTCTGGGTCCAAATCCTTCCTACTTCCTGTTTCCTTCCTGACCTCTTTCCTCCATCTTGGACCCTTCAGGCCTTCCTGGTTCCGTTCGGCCCGCTGAGCTCGTTGCTCCAATAAAAACAAACAGCAAGAACATAAATAATAACAATAAAAAGTAGCAGAACCGGGTCGGGTCAGAACCAGCCTCTGGTTCTGGACTAAGTGCTACCAAGGAACCAAGCTGCTCTACGATCATCAGAACCGGTTCTACTGAAGCCCTGAGCTACGGTCCGGGTCGGTTCTGCCGGGTCAGAGGAACCTTCCTGTTCCTGCTGCAGACCCGCTTTAAGGCATAGAACTAAACTGCATAGATAGGGGCTGGAAACCAGCCTTCCTCCAGAACCAAACGGGTCCGAGTCCATCAGTGAAGCGGGTCAGAAAGTTCTGGAAGCTGAAAGGATTTAAAAGCTGAGAGGAGGAGGCCAAGCCGCCTCCCCGTCCGCAGACGCCTCCTCATCTGGACGGAACCTCTTGGCCTGGGAACAAGTCGAGTCCAGGAAGTTCTCCTTGTCCTCCTGCGGCGCCGCCCACTTGGCGCCGCAGCTCCTCTCCCGGGCGGGTCGGACCGGGCCGAGCTCCGGGCTCAGGCACAGCTGCTGCTGCCACAGCCAGGGGTGGGTCAGGCACTCTGCGGCGCTGGGCCGGTCCCTGCAGGCAGAACCAGAACCTCAGATCATCAGAACCAAACCGGACCTCCTTAAGGAGGCGCATCGTCACCGTCTGCCGAGCCCATTCTGGGTCTGACGTCAACATCCCGGTAGAACGCGTGGTGGAACCTCCTGTGGAGGAGCAGGAACCTCCTCTGGAGGAGCCGGAACCTCCTGTGGAGGAGCAGGAACCTCCTCTGGAGGAGCAGGAACCTCCCCTGGAGGAGCAGGAACCTCCTGTGGAGGAGCAGGAACCTCCTCTGGAGGAGCCGGAACCTCCTGTGGAGGAGCAGGAACCTCCTCTGGAGGAGCAGGAACCTCCCCTGGAGGAGCAGGAACCTCCCCTGGAGGAGCAGGAACCTCCTGTGGAGGAGCAGGAACCTCCTCTGGAGGAGCCGGAACCTCCTGTGGAGGAGCAGGAACCTCCCCTGAAGGAGCAGGAACCTCCTGTGGAGGAGCAGGAACCTCCTCTGGAGGAGCCGGAACCTCCTGTGGAGGAGCAGGAACCTCCCCTGGAGGAGCCCGAACCTCCCCTGGAGGAGCAGGAACCTCCTGTGGAGGAGCAGGAACCTCCTCTAGAGGAGCAGGAACCGCCTCTGGAGGAGCAGGAACCTCCTCTAGAGGAGCAGGAACCTCCTCTAGAGGAGCAGGAACCTCCTCTGGAGGAGCCGGAACCTCCTCTGGAGGAGCAGGAACCGCCTCTGGAGGAGCAGGAACCTCCTCTAGAGGAGCAGGAACCTCCTCTAGAGGAGCCAGAACCTCCTCTGGAGGAGCCGGAACATCTTTAAGAGGAGGTTCCAGCTCCTCCAGAGGAGGTTCCTGCTCCTCTAGAGGAGGTTCCTGCTCCTCCACAGGAGGTTCCGGCTCCTCCAGAGGAGGTTCCGGCTCCTCCAGAGGAGGTTGCGGCTCCTCCAGAGGAGGTTTCGGCTCCTCCACAGGAGGTTCCTGCTCCTCCAGGGGAGGTTCGGGCTCCTCCAGAGGAGGTTCCTGCTCCTCCACAGGAGGTTCCTGCTCCTTCAGGGGAGGTTCGGGCTCCTCCAGAGGAGGTTCCTGCTCCTCCACAGGAGGTTCCTGCTCCTTCAGGGGAGGTTCGGGCTCCTCCAGAGGAGGTTGCGGCTCCTCCAGAGGAGGTTTCGGCTCCTCCACAGGAGGTTCCTGCTCCTCCAGGGGAGGTTCGGGCTCCTCCAGAGGAGGTTCCTGCTCCTCCACAGGAGGTTCCTGCTCCTCCAGGGGAGGTTCGGGCTCCTCCAGAGGAGGTTCCTGCTCCTCCACAGGAGGTTCCGGCTCCTCCAGAGGAGGTTCCTGCTCCTCCAGAGGAGGTTCCGGCTCCTCCAGAGGAGGTTCCTGCTCCTCCAGAGGAGGTTCCGGCTCCTCCACAGGAGGTTCCACCTCCTCCAGAGGAGGTTCCTGCTCCTCCACAGGAGGTTCCACCTCCTCCACAGGAGGTTCCACCTCCTCCAGAGGAGGTTCCGGCTCCTCCAGAGGAGGTTCCTGCTCCTCCAGAGGAGGTTCCGGCTCCTCCAGAGGAGGTTCCGGCTCCTCCAGAGGAGGTTCCTGCTCCTCCAGAGGAGGTTTCGGCTCCTCCACAGGAGGTTCCGGCTCCTCCAGAGGAGGTTCCTGCTCCTCCAGAGGAGGTTCCTGCTCCTCCAGAGGAGGTTCCGGCTCCTCCAGAGGAGGTGGCGGCTCCTCCAGAGGAGGTTCCGGCTCCTCCAGAGGAGGTGGCGGCTCCTCCAGAGGAGGTTCCGGCTCCTCCAGAGGAGGTGGCGGCTCCTCTAGAGGAGGTTCCTGCTCCTCCACAGGAGGTTCCGGCTCCTCCAGAGGAGGTTGCGGCTCCTCCAGAGGAGGTTCCTGCTCCTCCACAGGAGGTTCCGGCTCCTCCAGAGGAGGTTCCGGCTCCTCCAGAGGAGGTTCCAGCTCCTCCAGAGGAGGTTCCTGCTCCTCTAGAGGAGGTTCCTGCTCCTCCACAGGAGGTTCCGGCTCCTCCAGAGGAGGTTCTGGCTCCTCCAGAGGAGGTTGCGGCTCCTCCAGAGGAGGTTTCGGCTCCTCCACGGGAGGTTCCTGCTCCTCCAGGGGAGGTTCGGGCTCCTCCAGAGGAGGTTCCGTCTCCTCCAGAGGAGGTTCCTGCTCCTCCAGAGGAGGTTCCGGCTCCTCCACAGGAGGTTCTACCTCCTCCAGAGGAGGTTCCTGCTCCTCCACAGGAGGTTCCACCTCCTCCACAGGAGGTTCCACCTCCTCCAGAGGAGGTTGCGGCTCCTCCAGAGGAGGTTCCTGCTCCTCCAGAGGCGGTTCCTGCTCCTCCAGAGGAGGTTCCTGCTCCTCCACAGGAGGTTCCACCTCCTCCAGAGGAGGTGGCGGCTCCTCCAGAGGAGGTTCCGGCTCCTCCAGAGGAGGTTCCTGCTCCTCCAGAGGAGGTTCCTGCTCCTCCAGAGGAGGTGGCGGCTCCTCCAGAGGAGGTGGCGGCTCCTCCAGAGGAGGTTCCTGCTCCTCCACAGGAGGTTCCACCTCCTCCAGAGGAGGTGGCGGCTCCTCCAGAGGAGGTTCCGGCTCCTCCAGAGGAGGTTGCGGCCGGGTACTCACTCGGGCGCTTTGACCAGCAGCTTCCTGATGAAGTCGACGGCGAGCTCAGAGACGCGGCCGAAGGCGTCGCGGCTGTAGTCCACGTTGACCTGCGACACGTTGAGGAACGTCTCCTGCTTGTCGTCTCCAGCGAAGGGAGACTCTCCGGTCACCAGCATGTAGGAGACCACGCCCACGCTCCTGAGGACACACGGACCAGACCGGACCGGGAGCCGGGTCAGAACAAAGAACCACCTAGCGGTCCAAAGCAGAAACAGGTTCTGGTTGTTGGAACTCACCACAGGTCCGTTGCCGTGGTGATGGGCTCATAGTTCAGGACCTCTGGAGCTGAAGGAGAAACGGAGGAGACGTAGACCTGGATCAGAACCAGAACCCGAAGAACCCTGCTGGTTCTGAGAGCATCTGCAGGTCCACCAGGTTGGACCGGCCTAGTCAAAGCTCGGACCTGGATCCATCCATCCTGACGGAGCTCAGAGGTTCTACAGGGTTCTGGGTGGGAACTCCACACTTTTCAGAATGTTCCGTTCATCCCTGAATGGAACCCGGAGGCTCTGGATCCGATCCCATCCGCTTACCTACGTACTCCGGCGTTCCCAGAATCTCCCGCAGCTCGCCGGCCGAGCCCAGGCGGCGGGCCAGACCCAGATCCACGATCTTCACGTCTCCTGGCGGCGCCAGGCTGGTCAGCACGATGTTCTGGGGCTGCAGGAGAACAGGGAGGCCCGTCAGATGCGCTCTCCTCTTGGTCACCATGACGACCCTCTGACCCAGTTCTACTCAAACACGGCGGTTCTGGTTCTGGCGTACCTTGAGGTCCAGGTGGACCAGGTGGCTCTGGTGCAGGTGGTGGACCCCCTCCAGGGTCTGGCGGATCAGGCGGGTCATCTGGACCTCCGGCAGCAGCTCCTCAGAGACGCACAGGTCAAAGATCTCCCCGCCTGCAGCGCTGGACCGGACAGGACGGGTCAGAACATGACGGACCGGACGGGTCAGAACATGACGGACCGGACCGGACGGGTCAGAACATGACGGACCGGACCGGACCAGACGGGTCAGAACATTACAGACCGGACAGGACGGGTCAGAACATGACGGACCGGACCGGACCAGACGGGTCAGAACATTACAGACCGGACCGGACGGGTCAGAACATGACGGACCAGACAGGATGGGTGAGAACATGACGGACCGGACCGGACGGGTCAGAACATGACGGACCGGACCGGACGGGTCAGAACATGACGGACCAGACAGGACGGGTCAGAACATGACGGACCAGACAGGATGGGTCAGAACATGACGGACCGGACAGGATGGGTGAGAACATGACGGACCGGACCGGACGGGTCAGAACATGACGGACCAGACAGGATGGGTCAGAACATGACAGACAGGACGGGTCAGAACATGACGGACCGGACCGGACGGGTCAGAACATGACGGACCGGACGGGTCAGAACATGACGGACCGGACCGGACGGGTCAGAACATGACGGACCAGACAGGACGGGTCAGAACATGACGGACCAGACAGGACGGGTCAGAACATGACGGACCGGACGGGTCAGAACATGACGGACCAGACAGGACGGGTCAGAACATGACGGACCGGACAGGACGGGTCAGAACATGACGGACCGGACGGGTCAGAACATGACGGACCGGACCGGACGGGTCAGAACATTACAGACCGGACAGGACGGGTCAGAACATGACGGACCGGACCGGACGGGTCAGAACATGACGGACCGGACGGGTCAGAACATGACGGACCAGACAGGACGGGTCAGAACATGACGGACCGGACGGGTCAGAACATGACGGACCGGACCGGACGGGTCAGAACATTACGGACCAGACAGGACGGGTCAGAACATTACGGACCAGACAGGACGGGTCAGAACATGATGGACCGGACCGGACGGGTCAGAACATGACGGACCGGACCGGACGGGTCAGAACATTACAGACCGGACCGGACGGGTCAGAACATGACAGACCGGACCGGACGGGTCAGAACATGACGGACCGGACCGGACGGGTCAGAACATGACGGACCGGACCGGACGGGTCAGAACATGACGGACCGGACCGGACGGGTCAGAACATTACAGACCGGACCGGACCGGACGGGTCAGAACATTACAGACCGGACCGGACGGGTCAGAACATGACAGACCGGACCGGACGGGTCAGAACATTACAGACCGGACCGGACGGGTCAGAACATTACAGACCGGACCGGACGGGTCAGAACATGACAGACCGGACCGGACGGGTCAGAACATGACAGACCGGACGGGTCAGAACATTACAGACCGGACCGGACGGGTCAGAACATTACAGACCGGACCGGACGGGTCAGAACATGACGGACCAGACAGGACCAGACGGGTCAGAACATGACAGACCGGACCGGACAGGACGGGTCGGAACATGACGGACCGGACCGGACGGGTCAGAACATTACAGACCGGACCGGACCGGACGGGTCAGAACATGACAGACCGGACCGGACGGGTCAGAACATTACAGACCGGACCGGACGGGTCAGAACATGATGGACCGGACCGGACCAGACGGGTCAGAACATGACAGACCGGACCGGACAGGACGGGTCGGAACATGACGGACCGGACCGGACGGGTCAGAACATGACGGACCGGACCGGACGGGTCAGAACATGACGGACCAGACAGGACGGGTCAGAACATGACGGACCGGACGGGTCAGAACATGACAGACCGGACCGGACCAGACGGGTCAGAACATGACGGACCGGACCGGACGGGTCAGAACATGACGGACCGGACGGGTCAGAACATGACAGACCGGACCGGACCAGACGGGTCAGAACATGACGGACCGGACCGGACCAGACGGGTCAGAACATGACGGACCGGACCGGACCGGACGGGTCAGAACATGACAGGCGGACAGGACCGGACAGAACATGATGGACCGGACAGGACGGGTCAGAACATGACAGGCGGACAGGACCGGACAGGACGGGTCGGAACATGACGGACCGGACCAGACGGGTCAGAACATGACGGACCGGACCAGACGGGTCAGAACATGACGGACCGGACCGGACCAGACGGGTCCGAACATGACAGACCGGACCGGACAGGACGGGTCGGAACATGACGGACCGGACCAGACGGGTCAGAACATGACGGACCGGACGGGTCAGAACATGACGGACCAGACCAGACGGGTCAGAACATGACGGACCGGACCAGACGGGTCAGAACATGACGGACCGGACCGGACGGGTCAGAACATGACGGACCGGACGGGTCGGAACATGACGGACCGGACCAGACGGGTCAGAACATGACGGACCGGACCAGACGGGTCAGAACATGACGGACCGGACCGGACGGGTCAGAACATGACAGGCGGACAGGACCGGACAGAACATGACAGACCGGACGGGTCAGAACATGACGGACCGGACAGGACGGGTCAGAACATGACGGACCGGACCGGACGGGTCAGAACATGACGGACCGGACCGGACGGGTCAGAACATGACGGACCAGACAGGACGGGTCAGAACATGACGGACCAGACAGGACGGGTCAGAACATGACGGACCGGACCAGACAGGTCAGAACATGACGGACCGGACCGGACGGGTCAGAACATGACAGGCGGACAGGACCGGACAGAACATGACGGACCGGACCAGACAGGTCAGAACATGACGGACCGGACCGGACGGGTCAGAACATGACAGGCGGACAGGACCGGACAGAACATGACGGACCGGACAGGACGGGTCGGAACATGACGGACCGGACCGGACGGGTCAGAACATGACGGACCGGACGGGTCAGAACATGACGGACCGGACCGGACGGGTCAGAACATGACGGACCAGACAGGACGGGTCAGAACATGACGGACCGGACCAGACGGGTCAGAACATTACGGACCGGACAGGACGGGTCAGAACATGACGGACCGGACGGGTCAGAACATTACGGACCGGACAGGACGGGTCAGAACATGACGGACCGGACGGGTCAGAACATGACAGACCGGACCGGACCAGACGGGTCAGAACATGACGGACCGGACCAGACGGGTCAGAACATGACGGACCGGACCGGACGGGTCAGAACATGACGGACCGGACGGGTCAGAACATGACAGACCGGACCGGACCGGACGGGTCAGAACATGACAGGCGGACAGGACCGGACAGAACATGATGGACCGGACAGGACGGGTCAGAACATGACAGGCGGACAGGACCGGACAGGACGGGTCGGAACATGACGGACCGGACCAGACGGGTCAGAACATGACGGACCGGACCGGACCAGACGGGTCCGAACATGACAGACCGGACCGGACAGGACGGGTCGGAACATGACGGACCGGACCAGACGGGTCAGAACATGACGGACCGGACGGGTCAGAACATGACGGACCAGACCAGACGGGTCAGAACATGACGGACCGGACCAGACGGGTCAGAACATGACGGACCGGACCGGACGGGTCAGAACATGACGGACCGGACGGGTCGGAACATGACGGACCGGACCAGACGGGTCAGAACATGACGGACCGGACCAGACGGGTCAGAACATGACGGACCGGACCGGACGGGTCAGAACATGACAGGCGGACAGGACCGGACAGAACATGACAGACCGGACAGGACGGGTCAGAACATGACGGACCGGACCGGACGGGTCAGAACATGACGGACCGGACAGGACGGGTCAGAACATGACGGACCGGACCGGACGGGTCAGAACATGACGGACCGGACCGGACGGGTCAGAACATGACGGACCGGACCGGACGGGTCAGAACATGACAGGCGGACAGGACCGGACAGAACATGACGGACCAGACAGGACGGGTCAGAACATGACGGACCAGACAGGACGGGTCAGAACATGACGGACCGGACCAGACAGGTCAGAACATGACGGACCGGACCGGACGGGTCAGAACATGACAGGCGGACAGGACCGGACAGAACATGACAGACCGGACAGGACGGGTCAGAACATGACGGACCGGACCGGACGGGTCAGAACATGACGGACCGGACCGGACGGGTCAGAACATGACGGACCGGACAGGACGGGTCAGAACATGACGGACCGGACCGGACGGGTCAGAACATGACGGACCGGACCGGACGGGTCAGAACATGACAGGCGGACAGGACCGGACAGAACATGACGGACCGGACCAGACAGGTCAGAACATGACGGACCGGACCGGACGGGTCAGAACATGACAGGCGGACAGGACCGGACAGAACATGACGGACCGGACCAGACAGGTCAGAACATGACGGACCGGACCGGACGGGTCAGAACATGACGGACCAGACAGGACGGGTCAGAACATGACGGACCGGACCAGACAGGTCAGAACATGACGGACCGGACCGGACGGGTCAGAACATGACAGGCGGACAGGACCGGACAGAACATGACGGACCGGACCAGACAGGTCAGAACATGACGGACCGGACCGAACGGGTCAGAACATGACAGGCGGACAGGACCGGACAGAACATGACGGACCGGACCAGACAGGTCAGAACATGACGGACCGGACCGGACGGGTCAGAACATGACAGGCGGACAGGACCGGACAGAACATGACGGACCGGACCGGACGGGTCAGAACATGACAGGCGGACAGGACCGGACAGAACATGACGGACCGGACCAGACGGGTCAGAACATGACGGACCGGCGGGAAAAGAAGCCACCAACTGAACCTGGGCGCCAGCGTAGAACTTACTATTCTAGAAGCAGGACCAGGTCGTGTTCCGTCTCGTGGGCGCCGTACAGGTTGACGACCCGCGGGTTGTTCCGGGTCAGCTCCAGAACCGCCATCTCATGGATCAGCTCGGCCCGGCAGTCCCGGCCCCGCCTCCTCTTCCGCAGGAACTTGGCGGCGAAAACTTTCCCAGAACTTTTCTCCACGCAGCGCCGCACCACCGCAAACTTCCCCCTGGATCAGAACCAAGACCAGAACCACCATCAGAACCAACATCAGAACCACCATCAGAACCAAGACCAGAACCACCATCAGAACCAAGAACAGAACAACCATCAGAACCGCAGCTTGGTTCCAAAAACAGGACATCCAGGGAAGGAACCGACCCGCTTCCTCAGCACCTCTGGTTCTGGTTCTGAGCTCTCCATCATGGACCTTCAGGCAGCCAGAGGTTCTGATCACCAGCAGCTGGTTCTGCTCGGAGGACTGATCAGACCCGGTTCGGATCAGAAGATCGTTCTACTGATCAGACCCGGTTCCGATCAGAAGATCGTTCTACTGATCGGAGGGAAAACCAGAACTTTTCAGCACAAACCGACCACAGCAGGACCGCTCTCTGGTTCAGGTCCAGCTGCAGACTTGCTTTTGGGTCAGAACCTCCAGCTGTAACCGGGTCCTGATCAGAACCGGGTCAGCTCAGCTTGGAAACGGGTCAGAACCTTTTTCTGCAGCCTCTGATTGCTGGAAGAACCACAGGAGGATCCGGTTCTGATGTCCAGGAGTCCATCTGGACAACCAGCGGTACCGACCCAGATAGAGAACTGGACCCACCCAGACCCGGTTCTGCTTGGATAACATCATGAAGCCCCGATGGCAGAACCAGAACCCAGTCTGAGTTCAGAACCGGAGCTCCTGGTTCCTCATCGTGATCAAAGGTTTACTTCCTGTTCCTCTTTCTGAGGTCCGGTTGCCATGGTTACCGGTTTGGACCTGCTTCAGACCCGGTTCTGAGGTGGAACTGCTGTATTCAATGATGATCAACAGTTCTGGATCTGGACTCCAGAACCGGAAGTACTCACCTGCCCAGCTCCCCGGTGACCTCATACAGGTTCTCCAGAGGTTCGCTGCTGATCGGGGTCTGGGTCTCAGTCAGGAGCCCGCTGCGGGGGTCCGACCGCCTGCGGGACATCCTGCTGCTGCTCCTCACTGCTCCTCACTGCTCCTGCTGCTCCTCACTGCTCCTCCTGCTCCTCCTCCTCAGCGGCTCCGGTTCGGCTGGATCAGCGCTGGTTCGTGGGTCGGAACCGGGCCGGGTGGCCGGTAGTTCCTCCCAGCAGCGGCTAGCAGAAGAGCCGCTAACTTAGCTCAGCTGTCGGTATCCGGTCCAGCAGTGATTCGGAACCGGTTCGGTTGGTCCGGTTCGGTTCGGTTGGTCCCTCCTGACCGAACCCTCCTGAGTTTTAGTCCCGCGCGTGGAGCTGCCCTCGCGGCTTCGCTCCGGTCCGGTTCGGCTGGTCCGTTTCTACATCCCGGGTGACACCGAGCAGACACGTCACTGCCCTGCTGCGCATGCGCGCTGTTTCAAACGGCCAGGGGAATTCCGTCTGTGTTCAGGGATCCGAACCGACCGGCCTTCCGCTTCGGTCTGTGACTCTGAAGCCACCGGCAGCCATATTGGTACTCCCTAGTTAGAATGTAAACAATCTGCGCTACAGCATCGAATTACGATGATGTTTCCACTTTCAGGAGGAATTAAGACTTTAAAATAAAGATAAATTCATCAGTTTGACACAGACTGACTGTTTCAGAGCATCAGTGGATTAACTTTACTAAATACCCACATCAGTTCACTACAAATGGCACCAATGCAAACCTCTTCAACATGTCAAATATACTCTGTGTGTGTGTGTGTGTGTAAATTATTTTACTATAACAAACTTCCTTAACATGTATAATTCTGTTTAATGAACACTGAACAAAGTACTAAACAAAATATTGTCATGGTCAAAAAATTTACTCTCTAATCTGTTTTTTCTACTGATTATTTGCATGTTCCTGTTTCCAGCTGGAGAGGAAGCGGATAAACACTGAAATGATCGTGTGACTCCGATCTTATCCCTGATTAGTGGAACTGGTGGCGTTATAATTCTCCCTATGTTACAACCATACCTGCATGGATTGATATTATAGTAATTACATCTTACAGGTCTGGTAATGCATGATATATATATATATATATATATATATATATATATATATATATATATATATATATATATATATATATATATATATATATATATATATATATATATATATATATATATATATATATATATATATCTATGTGTATGAGCTACTTTTTTTTTCATCAACATAACCTGCAAGATATTTCAGTTCATGACTTTTCAGATGACAAATACCACAAACACTCAAAATCAACATCATCCTCATCAGCATCATCCACCTAATAAATAATTCCTACATTAACATTTCCCAGTGAATTACTTTCTATTTCCTCTACTTTCTATTTTCTAATGTTAGACCCAGTGTCTTCCAGTCAGTCTGAGATAGCCAGACTAATGTTAGTCTGCAGACTAAACTATAGGATCCATCGGCTATAGATGGATTTATCCTGACTGGGAAATGACCAGTGGAACGTCTTCCTGCAGACAGAAAACTGCTGGTTTTAGCAGCCAGATGCTGAACAGGGAGACATTTTCACTGCACGTCTCTGTGGGAGTGGGGATTACCAAGATGGCGGCGGTGGTTTCACTCTTTTGAGGCAATCAGCAATCCAGTGAAAACATAGAGATCGGTGCCCTGGTGTTCCAGGATGGATGCTTGTATTGACGTCCATGCAGGGGCCACTGGGTCCCTGAAAACCAGCCCTCTGGGTTCAGTCACCTCTGAGTCTATTTGAAATACCATCAATAAATAGATTGATATTCATTATTTTATTGTCAAACATGTCAGCGCAACCAGGGTCTGTAACATAGAGACACCATTAATCACATTAATCAGTTAAACTTCACAGTAAAACATTTTCAGGGACTTTATGCCAATTTAAAGAGCCGGTCAGAGGAGCAGACATTACCTGTTTATCTCGTTAGTTTATCCTTTTAGTTTTATACCAAAAATAGACTTTAAAGTACCTTGATGGGTGTGTATCCCTTTAGTCATGTATAAAAAAATTATTTAATTACTTTTTGGTGTTTTCTTGCAGTGTATGGCGATCAATTTCTATTCAGTTTATTTCTATAGCGCCAATTCACAACACATGACATCCAGTTCACCAGATCATCCAGTCAGATTGATTCAAAGTTTTCTATCTAAGGAAAACCAGCTGATTGCATCGACTCATTGACTCTTCAGCAATCCCTCACACTAAGCATGCTTGTAGCGACAGTGGAGAGGAAAAACTCCCTTTGAACAGGAAGAAACCTCCAGCAGAACCAGGCTCAGTGTGAGCGGCCATCTGCTGAGGCCCACTGGGGTTCAAGGAGACAGAAGCAGACATAGAAAAAGAAGCATAGATACAAAAGGCAGCTGTCAACCAGCTCCACAGGCGGCCCCGTCCAGGAAACACACAGCCAGGCAGACGGTCCAAAGACTATAACTTCTGTTTTGTCTGCATTCAGAAGCAGAAAGTTAAGAGTCATCCAGGTTTTTATGTCTTCAGACATGCCTGTAATCTATGTAATGGGTTAGCTTCATCTGGATTATAGACAGATATAGCTGGGTATCATCAGCATAACAGTGGAAATTAATCCCATGCTGTCTAATAATTCTACCGATTGGGAGCATGTATAAAGTAAAGAGAATTGGTCCTAGCACTGATCCCTGTGGTACTCCACAGGTAACCTTTGAGCGTGTTGAAGATCTATCATTAACGTGAACAAACTGAATTCGATCAGATAGATAGATTTAAACCAGTCTAGAGCTGTTCCTTTAATTCCAACAAAATATTCAAGTCTTTCTAAAAGAATATTCTGATCAACTGTATCAAATGCAGCACTAAGATCCAACAGGACGAGCACAGATACAAGTCCATTATCTGAGGCCATGAGAATATCATTAGTGACTTTCACCAGAGCTGTTTCAGTGCTATGATGAGCTCTAAAGCCAGACTGAAACTCTTCAAAAAGTTCATTATGGTGGAAGTGATCGCAAACTTGTTTGGCAACTACTTTCTCAAGAATTTTAGATCAGAAAGGAAGATTGGATATAGGTCTATAATTGAGTCAGTTATTTATGGTTTAAATGTCCCAAACCAAACTGACTCAATCAGGGTTCAATAGGTCCAGAAACAGGGCGAGGGTGCAAATACTTTCCACAGCAGAGTGAAGGTAAAAACTTCCTGGAGCAGACGGCCTCCATCCGGCCCCCGATGCTCAGCAAAGGCTTCCAGACTGGGTTTCCTCTCTGCAGACCAACATCTCAGGTTTTGGTTCTGTTCTCAGGCGTTGATTGGTTAATGTCAGCAATCTGCTGAAAGAGAAAGCTCTGGAAACTGGTCCACTGCTGTGGAACCAGAACCACAGCCTAGAACCGAGTTCTGGAGGCTGTGGTTCTGTTCACAAACTTATTCAGTTTGAATATCTTGGTTTATTCCTCATCCAGAATAATCAGGTTATCCAGTCTCTGTAGTTATGCTGCTATAAGCTAAATGTTCATCTCTGATCCTCATTAAGGTCAGACAGTAAAGTTTCTCCAGATGCTTCTGCTGCTCCTGAGTTCGATGCCAGAGAGCAGCTTTGCTATATTAGCTGTGATCAGCGGGTAGAAAGTAGTTAGAATCTATGTTGAAGTGAGAAAGTCCTCCTGAAAACATGGTCTGTGCAGTCAGTTCATCCAGATTACCATCCTGCCTTCAAAGATTATTTCTCTGTGGGAGCCGCTCAGACCCCCACATACCGGCGCTGCGCTGTCACTGGGAATCCCCAGCAGCAGCTGCCTCAGGCCCGCTCGCCTCTCCAGGGTTTTCCCCTCCTGTTGGTGGCGGCTAGAAGTAGATGTTAGCGTTTTTCAGGTCTGTGCTACAAACTGCAGGCAGCAGGATAATAAAAGCCAACATATTCTGCCGGCAGGTTTCTACATTTGAAGTTAATTTAGGCGTTAATAAACTGTTTCAGAGGAGTGATCATAGCGCTCTGCATCAGCAGTGCTGCGTCTGACTCCCTGCCAGCTCCCAGATCAGCTTCTCTCATTCGTTGATGTCCAGCAGCTAAAGGTCAATGTTTCCAACAGCTGCTGCTTCTGAAGCTCCTCAGACACTCAGAAGCTCATGAGGTGCCGCTGCTCCTGCAGCTCCTGCTGCTCCTGCTGCTCCTGCAGCACCTTTAGCTGCACCTTGATGCATCAACCATTGACTTTGCATGGAAACCAGCAGCTTCTGCTGCCTCTAGCATGTTCAGTCTGAACCAGTGTTAATTTCGTCAACGCCCCTTTTTCCCGTGACGATGACGAGAACGAACAAAAATTGTTTCCAGAAAATAAAAATATGACGAAAATAAAAAATGATTTTCAACAACGAGACAAAGAGATTAAATTTACGATCTATTGACGGATGAACATTAAGAAATTGTTAATATAAGCGGCATCTTGAGCTTCATAGATGATCACGCTTTGTTTTGCTGTTTGTCCCACAGCGACTCGCAGCGCTCAGTCAGTAGCAGCATAGCTCAGCTTCGCAGTCATTGCGGATGCCATTGTGCGGTTCGTTAAACAACACCTGGATGTTTGGAGCCATTTGGCTTACAACATGAAGGGAAACACTGCAGGAAGGAAGGACGCCACCTGCAGCTTCAACATGGCAGGAAAGAACACAGAGAATCTCAGCCACATCTGAGGAGCCAACAGCTGCCATATGGAGAAGGTAATGAACAGGTGGGCCTGCAGTGGCAGGAACAGGTGTGTTAGTGCACAGGTGCATGCATGGGGGCGGGGCTGTATCCGTCCGTCTATCTGTCACTGAATTCAATTCAATTCAATTCAGTTTATTTATATAGCGCCAAATTCACCACACATGTCATCTCAAGGCACTTTACAGTTCAACCAGATCATACAGTCAAATTGATACAAAGTTTTCTATCTAAGGAAAACCAGTCGATTGCATTGACTCATTGACTCAAATACAATCCCCCACACTAAGCATGCTTGTAGCGACAGTGGAGAAGAAAAACTCCCTTTTAACAGGAAGAAACCTCCAGCAGAACCAGGCTCAGTGTGAGCGGCCATCTGCTGAGGCCGACTGGGGTTCAAGGAGACAGAAGCAGAGAAAAGGCGGCCCCGTCCAGGAAACACACAGCCAGGCAGACGAGCTCCAAGGCAGCTCCCATGCCAGAGGACGAAGAGAGCACATCCACTCAGTCACGGTCAGAGAAACAGGACCACACTGGAAAACAGGCCGATCTCCAACATCTATAAACAAGGGTGTTGATAGAAGCAGCACAGCTGATGTTTTTTTCCAGGATGACGTCACAGCCAAACAGGAACAGACGAGGCAAAGCTACTCTGAGGAAAAGCAGAGAGAGCAGAAGGTTAGAGATTGAACTAACAGATTCTGCAGAATAGGAGAACAG